CCCCCCCATGATATTGTCTATAGTTATGTTTGCTATATATAAGTATAAATATTTTATTTGTAGGTATCATTATTTTTCCACAGAACGTTTACCGTCAATATTATTAAATAGATACCATGAAATTGCAACCGGAACATTACTATAGGCTTGAGAGCATCGAGTGACTATTGTCATTTTATAGTATTGCTTGTTGCTACACTGACCAATATTTATTTTTTTTATCTTACCTACTGACCGACAGAAAAAAAATTTGGTACAGTTATTTTTTTAAATTTTATTCAAACATCAAAATMATTACTTACATTTAACAACCGTTTAATGGTATAGAAACAAGTGCGATGAGAAAATTATAACTGACTGCTGCAAAACATATATATAAATATATATATATATGTATTATTAATCCTAACAGTAAAACATTTACTATAGTTTTTACATGTTTATACTTATATAGGTACAGCATGCAATTAAAAATATAACAGTTCACAAAAGTTTTCCTAGATCAATGTTTGGATAGTAAATCATTAACATATTATTTTAAAAATAATGTAATGTGTTCAAAAAAAATTTTTTTCAATATAATAATAAAAATTACTGTATTATAATAAGTAGATTTACAATTTACATTATATAGATATATTTGCATAGATGCGTTAAAATATATCGGTTGTTGTTATATATATATATATATACACCATATATATACCATATATATTTAGGTAATCAATAAATTTTATCGTTAAATAGGAAATCAACTGAATCAAGACGAATCTTTAAAGAAAACAATTTAATAGTTTATAGTGATATATTAACCATTAAAAATATAAAGGTTTTCTATACAACGGAAGATTAGAATAAAAACCACAGTACGAGTAAGTATCTAATTTATTTGGCTTGGTAAAGTAGTAAATAGTAAGAAAGAAATTTGGACTATTCCTCAATTAGTTTGAATTATGTACTTCAAACTTATTTCACTCAATACAAGTCAACCTAATAAACAGTGCTTTAACTATAATATATGTTTGTTTTCATTAAAAAGTTTTTTTTTCATTCAGTTTGTTATGTTATGCAGATATTTGCAATATACTTCAAACTTATCAGTCTAATTAAATATAAGTAGCTAAATATATTTTATTTTAACTTAATTAAATGCAGTTTTTTAACAATTAAAAAACGACTTATTGACACAATTAAACATTTAGTTTCGTTATTAATTATTTCATACAATTTAGTAGGTTGTCACCATCAGGATAGTATTGCTATAAGTAGTCTTTCTAGACTACAGCCCAGTACGAACAATTTAGAAAAGTGACAACCAAATAATAGTAACTGAGAGAGTACATTGAGTGCAATATTTTGAGATCGTGAGAAAGTGCCTTTACGATTAATTAAAATGAACATTATAAATGGTACATGCCAATTAATTTAAATCAACTTAATAATATTTAACATTATATGTATAGGTTTAGTCAACCTATAACTACACCTTGAGGCTACTGAAATTATATTTTTGTTGAAAATAATTGGTAATATATCCCCATGTTATTTCCCTCCCATAAGGGACTAAGAGATGAATAGTGCTATTTATCAAGTGTGAAAACATAATTGTTGACGGCATTATCACAGCCCATCGCAAAAGGCACGGTTTATCCTTTTAATATCGTACCCTCGTAAATAACAACGTCCATCGATATTATTCTCTTTTTTTTTACACGTCAGGGGGTGGTCTATTGTTCTACACGGAAAAAGAATCGTAAGTATTTCCATTCTCTTGCATCGTCATCATAATTAAATTTTTGAATGATACAAATAATATTAAATTAAAAATATAAATTATTTAGTTTAAATAAAATAAAATTTAATATTTATGCTAACTTAAATATTAAATATACGTGTATTACTTGAAAAAAATCACGAAAATCATCGCCATCATTAGAAAATAACAATTAATAATATGCAGAAGTAAATATAATATAAATTATTTTTTATAAAGCAATGAAGTGCCACAAGATAATCAAAAATTAATCGAAGTAGATAATTTATCAATATAATATACCACATAATCATAGTCAACAAATAAAGACTTATTATATAAAATATATTATATTAATAGTATACATAGTATCTACTCGTATATTGTATTCGATCTAAAACAATTGTATAAATTAGAAAATTGGTACGTATGTGTATTAAGTCCCTTTACAATGTACAAAAAGTTGCTAAATTTTAACAACCCTAATACTCAATGTAAAAAATTAAGTTTAATAATAAAAAGTATACCTATATATATTATTAGTTTTCATAGAAAACAGTAATGTAAACTCTCTCTTACATGACCACAAAGCCCAACTAAAGGGAAACCTAGTGATTTATTTGATACTCACTTTTTTCCATAGTAATTTTAGTAGGTAACCGAAAAAACCATATTCATACATGATAACAAAACATACCTGCAACAAAACAAACAATAGACAATTAGATAACAAATTTAGTGTGCGATGAACGTACATTTCGTCAAGACTACATTCTGGATTATATGTATGACGGACGTATGAGTATTGAGTATCAATGTTGGTCGTAAGATCATTACCTGTAATTAACTGACACTCAAGAGATCACAAATGTAATATTTTAAGTATAAATTAAGAAACAAGTTGTAAGTTGTAGGGTGTACATAATCTTAATTTTCAAACCACTTACTTTCACCTCAAACTGCATTTTTAAAACCCAAAAACTTTCCAATTGATAACGCATAGACAAGTTGAGAATAGAAAGTATACGCACTTAACAATGGCAATTTGTATATAACATGTAAAAATGACGCGTGTTTAGATTTATCGGCATCGGAGGCTGCTCGCCACATATTACAACCATTTATAACGGTATTCCGGGGCGCACAAATAATTTTATGCGAACGTGACTATTTTAACATGTAATTTAGTAGGAAATAATTTTTTCGCGTGTACGAATCTCCATTTAGGTTTATTATTAGTAGTATAAATATTCTTTCACGAGCCCTTGTATCTAATTTAATTATTATTGCCCAAGCGGATAGCACGAAATATACACGGTTGGTCTCAATTCAATGCGATTGTCCCCGATCACCTACATAATAGATGACTGTTCTAGTAAAGTTAAAAGCAGTAATAAGCTCTATAATATACAAATTATAACATCCACACTTTTTATCATAACACGATATGGGGYCTACCCAAATAATGCGCCGACATTTTTAAAAATATTAATAGATAAGAAAGCTTTCTATTAGGTATGATTAAATCGTGGTTAAAACTTAAAAGGAATATATATGATATTATATACATTAACCGAGATAAAATATCTTCCTTCGCTAATTAACACCAAAAGTTGAGTTATCTTAGCCATCTAAAATTTCAAAAGTTACTTAGACCTTCATTGTTAAACATCTAAATAATGTAATAAACAATAGTCTACAACAATGGAAGTTCAGAAATATTTAAAATAACCTTTTTTTACCGATATTTTATTTACTCCAACATAAATACAAATAAAACACCAAAACATGACTAATTTTATTGAATAAGATTACATTAATAGTATTAATACAGAAGTTTAGTTCATTTTATAAAGAATAATAGTTTTTGAAGTTTTTCATGGCATATACTTGCCATTACTTTATGAAAAAGTTTTATTTAAAAACGAAACTCCAGCAGTTGACCACCAAAATATTGTGTTTGTAGGCTTATGAGCCTCAATTATTGCATATATATAGCCGGATCTACGTATGTTTTAAAAGTAACACATGACCACGGGTCAAAGTCAATAGGATAGGTCTCGATGTAGCGGTTTGGGTAGCCTCAAGACATGATATTATATACGTACGTCGCGAGCCGGCTCCAGCGCTAACTCGTTCCACTGGTTTCTCTTTTTCTTTCTCGCACTCTTTCACCGCATCTCTTGCTCACTCTCGTCTGGCTGGTACGGCAGCAACCACTTCTGTTTTATAACCTCAAAACCGGGTATTGAATTATACCTCTCTTTCTATCAACTCCTTCTGTTGCATTAAGCGCATGCCATACACACATTTATTATAGTATAATATTATATAGCTATATATGAAGAGAGATTAACAGTGGCCGTAAACTTGGTTGCTGTTGTAGTAGGGTCAACGTCCGGGGTTGTCCACAGAATACTACAATTTATTWTAATGACAAAATCGAAAATTTTATGTACCTACATGTATTATAGAGCAATAACATAACAATATTGAAAGATTATATCATATTTATATTATATAAATTTCATAAATATTATATTTCAAATTTAATCAAAAAATCACAAATCTTAAATGCATTTAACTTTGCATGATAACTTATAATTCTTATATTATAATCTATGAATATTGTGATACCACTTGGAATTCATAAAATATTACTATTAATTAAAGTTGATAACGACCTTTTTAATGCACTTGTAACTTGTTTATTTCATTTTTACATATTTTCCACAAAACAACTCCTAAACTAATTTCTCAGGGGGTAGATCATAGTTTTTTTGTTAGAGCACTGCTAACGACCGAAAGATTTAAACTAATAAATTACTAAGGGACTAAGTTATTGCTATTTTTTTACACTCCTGCAGTTAGTTTTTTTTATACACATTAATCCGTTACGTTCCCAAATCCCTGAGTTGAATGTTTATTAATGAACCAGGTAAAAATACAACCAGGTCAAAGCGAGAAAAATACTAAAAACAATTCATTTTTTTTTTTGTGTTTTTGGATGGTTAAATACTAAACATTACGAKTRATATGCTTAATATATCTATAGTCTATATTATATATATCCTATATCCAACCCCTTTTGAATTAAAAATATAAATTTACAACACTCAGATTATCATAAGCATAACTATGTAATTGCTAAAGTATTGTGGTTTAGATTGATATAACTGTAGTACTGTAGTAGTTCGGACACCGCAGAATAGTTTCATTTATATACAATAATGCTAACATCCAATGGTCGACATTAATTCCCAAAAAAGAATACATATCAATAAAAAATAATAATTTATAGACCCGTATATTCATAATATTAACTATTATTATATAAAATATGATGCGATTTTCGATCTGATTTGTGTAACTTTTCCAATTAACGCATGTTATTTACTAGATGTATATAATAATTAATGAAGGTACCTACGAGTAAAGAGTATTGGTTTAGTTTGACCTCGCATTGGTTACGAGTGATTAGATTGGATCGCTAGACGCCTACCGGAGTCTGGGGTAAAAAAAATTTTAATCAAGACTAACGATGGTGTTATCCACAAACAATAGCGTAGGCTGTACAAAGAACACATCTGGTAAGAACCGGTCTTTACTCTTAAGTACACAAGATAMATTTTTTTTAATAAAAAAACGATTATCTCACAAACAATGATACACATGAAAAAAGACAAGAACACGAAAGGAATAGATTATTTTTAAATGTTTTATTAATTATAAATCAATTTGATAAACAATAATTGTATCAAACATTAATTATCCTTTAATTAAATACAATACACATACATATATTTTGTTAATAACTAATTAATTAAAAGTAGATATTTCTTCTTTACTACCTATTCACATTTACGAAATGACTCACCGCATTTTACATTTATATAATGTATACGTTCAAATCAATTACTATTTTTATAAACACTTATAGTTTATAACAAATAAATTTATCAAAACAAATATTAAAAATTTTGTCTCCAAAAATTGATTTTCGAAATTAGTAAAAATAATGATAATGATCATAATGATAATACATCATAGTGAAAGTACTGATTAATTTCAATTGTAACTCATGTCAAGTAAAATATCTAGAATTTCTATAACTTTATAATATACTAGAATTAACTTAAATKATCAATTTATAGGTGGAAATACTTAAAATAACATTTACCAAGTGTATCAGCCATCAGGCACAAGTAATAAAATAACACAGTATATATACAGTGAAAAGTCTTTATAACGAAACTCGTTACAACGAAAAACTCTATATTACGTAAATAACATTAAGTTAACTTATAATGATTGGTTTGATTTAAAACCTATTACTATCTATTACGAAAACTCTCAATAACGAAAGAAATCACACAGTTCAGGTTCGTCATAGAGAGTTTTCACTGTATATAAATAATAAATATACATAATTTATTTATATAAATAAATTGATAATAGGTACTAAGATGATTTTTATAGTATTATGAATTTTACTTGGATACAAACAATCTAAATTAAATTAAAAATTCTTACAAAGAATGAAAGAGTGTTTTAATAAACATACTAATCATTTTTCATGATTGAATTCGTTATCTATTACTTTATATCTATGACAGATCACGATCAATTTATTGTACGACATACGACTTCTAAGTTTAATATTCTATAATTAACGTAAGACACCTATATATTAAGATAAATGTATATTCAGGAGGTTTTTAAGAATAAATGACTTAGAATATTGTCATCACGTATACAAAACAACGAAAGTCGTTTGCATKAGTTCACAATTACATTAGTCCAATGACAGCTGAAACCAGCGTCAAAAAATCATACATTTTCGTAAAATAATAATATTTAATTTTACAGGAAAATGTCCAATAAAAACGGTATTTTTCGCTTACACGCGGGTTTCTAACAAGGGTGGTCGTAGAAAATATCCCGGAGAATCGCTGCAGGGCCGACATTAAAAAGCAATCTGGCAGATGGCCGCCGTTTTTGTATACACGGTGTGTGTATATGTGTCACATCTCACATACGTATTATTACAGACCCACAGGATTTGCAGAACCGACCCCGAGAGCCGAAACAGTTGAAATTGAATATTCTGAAATGGCATRGTAAACGAAGAGAGTGGTGGTGATGTTTTAGTGACACTAAGGGGAAAAATAATTTTTAAAAAATCCGAAAATCCCGAGGCGGATAAACGTGTCAACATACTTTTYGTAGTTTTTAATTACATTATGATGTATCAGATGAAAATATGTAAATTGTACATTTAGCTTATTATATCATAGTCCATACTAAAGTAGTTAATATAGTTGCATATTGAAACCGAACTGTTTATTTCGTCAACATAATTTACATAAACATATCTATACATCTATATCGATGTTTAAAAAAAAAAATATATATATTTGGAATTATTCATGGACGATAAAATGTTCTATAGTCATATCAGTATTTGTCACTCTCTTCGGTCAATCGAAATAATTCAAGATGATAATGTAAACGTTCGGCTGATGGGAAGAAAAAAACAAGTTTTCGGGCAACTGTGAATAATAGTGTAATATACATTGATATTATAATATTTTTTGACAACTTGCCAGATTCTTAGCAAGGCATTTATTAGATTATACCGAAAATGCATAATCKTATCTATACTTACGTCCTACGCACTGTCAACTGAGTAGTT